TTCGTAAGGTGGGCCTGGGTATGAAGCAAGTGGAACTGCAGAACCCTTGCCGGACTCAGGTGGGCAACCAAGAGGTTGTCACTTCTACTCATGCTGTCAAAGGTGTGCACATCACCTTTGACAAAGATCGCATTGTCACACATGAGCTGAATTTCTGTCCTGGACAAATGTCCTTTCGACGCGGTCATTGGCTTGGGCTGGCTAAAGGCTCATTGCCTAAGGACCACGTGGGCAGACAACCAGTTCGTGGTACTTGATGCCAAGGGGAACGAGCGTACCGTCTTACTAGACAAGACGCGCGAGTCCCCTGTGACTCTTCTCAGTGCTAACAAATTCTGCAGGTCAGTGCGCAGGCGCAAGGAAGCTGAATTTGTACATATAGCTCTTGTAAAGCCTTTCCACGTGCCTTCTACTTTTGCTGCATTTTCTACCTCTGAAGGTAACTCTACCTCTAGTACTACTATTTCTGTTCCACCTACTTCTGTTGTAAATGATCAATCTAGTTCGGAACCAAATATGTCGAAACCGGTTGTGATTGCTGTAAATTCCCAATCTGATTTTGTCTCTCCCGATGAGGATGATCCTCCACCAGAAATCCCAGCGAACATTCGCCATCTATTAGATCGATTTCCTGAAGTGTTGGCTGAACCTCGCGGAGTTCCCGAGCGTCCAATCAAGCACAAAATCGAGATAATAGAAGGGAGTGTTCCTCCAAAGGGCTGCGTCTACCGTATGGGACAAGGCGAGTTGGAGGAGCTGCGGAGACAAATTGACGACATGATTGATCGTGGATGGATTAGGCCTAGCGAGTCTGAGTTCGGCGCTCCTGTTTTGTTTGTGCCGAAGAAAGGAGGCAAACTCCGGATGTGCATTGATTATCGTGGTTTGAACCGAATCACAAGGAAGAATGCATACCCTTCGCCTCGTATAGATGATCTGCTGGATGCGGCCGGTGGATGCAAAGTCTTCTCCAAGATCGACCTCAAATCTGGCTACCACCAAATTGAAGTTGATCCGAGCGACCAGCACAAAACTGCGTTCAAGACATGCGACGGGCTATACGAATTCATCGTTATGCCCTTCGGCCTAACAAATGCACCAGCCACATTTCAGTCCCTCATGGACAAGGTACTCCGCCACCAACTTAACAGGTTTGTGGTTGTGTATCTTGATGACATTCTGATTTTTAGCAAGTCCATGGAGGAGCACGTCAAGCATCTCGAGGTCTTGCGAGTCCTCAAAGATGCTCAAATGCACCTCAACTTGGAGAAATCTGAGTTTGGCAGGAACAGTGTCATCTACCTTGGACATCGGTTGTCTGCAAGCAGTCTTGAGCCGGAGGCAACCAAGGTTGAGGTCATCCGCAACTGGCCTCAACCGCCGAATGTACGCGAGC